TTTAATAAAATATAAAATTTATTAAAAAATTATAAAAAAAATTTTCCCTCTATCACTTTCCTAAATTAAATTACTGCATACTTAGTATTCTCCGGCGAAAAGTCACCAGGGGTCTTGTTGATATTGTAGCCTCTTCTATCGCACGTGGCAAACTCAAAATCTATCGCTATCCGATTCGGTGAGTCGGTGCAGCTATCTCCTACATCCAATCTAAAACCCATGTCCCACACCATCCCAATCATCACCGTCCATCTCATACAACAAAATTAAATCCGCAGTCAGACAAGAATCCACCAGATCTATCACACATCTGTTACGGCAGGAAGAATGTAGCGGATCTTTGCCCTGGGTGTGACCCTACTTGATGAAATCCTCGCCCACCCAAAACGATCAATCATACACAACCTAAAGATCAACGAATCAGATCTCGCCACGTCAACCTCAAGCCCCCCAGAGATCCAACACCGACTACATTCCGCCATCGCCGTCACGACACGTGTCCCGTGATCTACTGGTAATAGCCGGTGATATAGGGGGTGTTCACCGATGTAGCCGGTGACTCCGTCTCTGCAATTCCCGCTAGGTATATAAACAGCACCCTCGAAATCTCTCTACCCAAATTCTGTTTGCAAAGTAACGTTTTTAGCTTTTTCTCCATTCCACGATTTTCAGGTTCGTAGCTTCTATTCCTTTCTAAATTCGTCTCCTTTTTTAATATTTTTTGGAATTTTTTGTTTGATTTTTTTACTTGTGTTAGTTTGATAGATTTCTTAGCTCAAATCAGCTTTGATCGATCTCTGGAACTGTGGAAGATTACTGGATTTTCTTGTAAAAAATTGGGTTCTTTCTAGTTGGTTTAGCTTCCTGTCTCTTGATCGCTTTGTTTAAGTTGATGTTATGTGTTTAATTAGAGTTAATCTGTTGATTTTTGGTGGGTTTAGCGTGTTTGATTCGAGTTTGGATTTTGATAGGTTTGTTTGTTTTTTCAATGCGTGTTATTGATTAAATATTAAAATTAGATTAGTGGGTCAATTGCATTATGCACTTGATTTGGTCACTTGTTTGCTTTTAACTTCGTGTTGACGTTATTGGATTAGGTAGTTCAGTTTGAAGTTAGGGTTTCTTGGGGAGAATTAGGGAATTATGTTTTTTGTGGTTTAGGGGTTAATAATGGTATTTTTGAGGTGCTTTTACAATGATTCCGATCCAGAGTTTTACCTGGGTTGAGTTCTTTTGAAGGTTTATAAGAAAAAGAAAAAAAGAAAAAGAAAGAAACTTTGTCACTCTTTTAGCCTGTGCATTTTGAGTGCTGATTTTTGTTATCTTCTTTCTCTATTGAATGCTATTTTTAGATCCTGCCAATTATTTGGGGATGGCTCAAACAGATCATAACCATTGCAGTCAATTTTTTCCCCCCGAGAGCCTGTAGATTTGTAATAATCTTTGCAGTGAGCAGTGAAAGAAGTGAAAGTGACACGAGGAGCATGGCCTGTAGTTCTATTGTTTATGAGGTTGGATACTAAACTTGCTGGTTGTATTTGTGCGTCTTTTTAGTGCTTCATTTTTGTATTTTTATGATATTGAGGGGGGTTGAGTGTGTTTAATATTGTCCATACTAGTCAGGCCTGGCTCTGGATAGCTATTTAGATTCCAGCCACCAGGGGGTGGTGCCTCCAATGGTGCCTTCTCGGGTGGCTGGAGGATTAACCCAATTATCCTCAAGTTCGGGAATTTTCTTCCAAGGAGATGGGCAGTCCCAGGCTGTAGTTAACTCTCACTTGAGCTCATCTTATGGGAACTCATCTAATTCAGTTCCTGGAACTGGGCGTCCAACTCTTGGTCCAGTCTCTGGGGACGTAAATAATGCGGTGTTGAACAGTGTTGCAAACTCAGGACCTAGTGTTGGAGCCAGTTCTTTGGTCACAGATGCAAATTCAGCGCTTTCTGGAGGTCCCCACTTGCAGAGAAGTACAAGCATCAATACAGATATGAATATGCGTCTACCAGCATCTCCATTGTCATTTACTTCTAACAATATAAGCATGTCAGGTTCATCAGTAGTTGATGGATCATCTGTTGGACAGCAGGGTTCTCATCAAGACTCAAATGCCCATTTACAGCAGAGTCAGCAGCAACAACAACAAGGGGCCTCAAGTGCTACATCCTTGCCTACATCACAAACTGGCCAAGTTTCACTTCCCATGGGTCCACGAGTCCCTGGTTCCTACATGCAAGACCCTAATAATCTATCACAGGTGCAAAAGAAACCAAGATCGGATATCAAGCAGGAAGATATTCTGCAGCAGCAGGTGTTTCAACAGCTGCTGCAAAGACAGGATTCAATGCAGTTACAAAGTCGAAACCCACAGTTACAAGCCTTGTTCCAGCAGCAGAGACTGAGGCAACAGCAGCAGCAGTTTCTGCAGGCGCTGCCCCAATTACAGAGAGCCCAGTTTCAGCAGCAGCAGCAGCAGCAGCAGCAGCAACAGATGCAAATGAGGCAGCATTTGCAACAGCAGGGCATGCAGCAAATAATGAAGCGTCCCTATGATAATGGCGTTTGTGCTCGTAGGCTGATGCAGTACCTATATCATCAGCGGCAAAGGCCATCTGTGAGTTTTTATTTATTTGTTTATTTATTTACTGTATGTATCATGTGGCACATGGTTGCCTTTCCCTCTTCCTGCTAATTGGTTTAATGCAACAGTCATACATTGCCTCTTTTTCCTCAAAATTGCACCATAGGTTCCTAGGTGGTTTAATAACATTATTGCATTCATGATTATAATACATTTTCAATTTCTTTTTATTTTGCTGGCTAATTCAATTTTTTAGAACTATTGTTACTAAACATCTACTTTACTGATGTTAATTCATTTCTCAACTTATTAAGTTCTGAAGTGTAAAGTATATTTTAACCCTGATCTATCTCTATTTGATTTTATAGGAAAACCCCATTGCTTACTGGAGGAAGTTTGTGGCAGAGTATTATTCTCCTCGTGCAAAGCAAAGGTGGTGTCTGTCAATGTATGATAATGTGGGGCACCATGCACTTGGTGTTTTTCCCCAAGCAGCCATGGTCAAGTCTTTCTTCCTATCACCCACCTGAAAAATTATTTGTTTAATAAAGTTAGAATTTTATGTGAATATAACCTACTAATAATATGAATATTATCAAGCAGTGTAAGCTAATTTTGCCTCAAGTAACAACCATGCATGTATGTGTTTTCCTAAGTATTTTTTTTTTTTTTTAAGTTTCAATAATATAGGAGTACATAGGTAATGAAATATTAAAAATCATTTAATTGTTGCAGCTATTATTTTATTTTCTCCTATATCTATTTATGGTCTTCTAATATATGGAAGCTTCGGCATTCTTTGATGTAAAATTTCAGGATGCTTGGCATTGTGACATTTGTGGGTCCAAGTCTGGAAGGGGATTTGGTAAGGGATTCTTAATGATTGACTTTATCTTAGAGTTTGAATTTCTTTAGTTGGTTTTAGAAGAAATTACATTTTAGAGAGACCAAGAAAAATTGTTCTTAAATACAAGCTTAGTAGCCTATTTACATTAAATATAATGTGCAATTCATTACTAGCTAAGATTCTCTCTAATTTTTTCCTACTTCTACCATGGTCTGACTAATTATTTTCATATTCATGTGGTTATTTACAGAGGCAACATTCGAAGTCCTCCCAAGGCTCAATGAAATCAAATTTGGCAGTGGAGTAATTGATGAGCTTTTATTTTTGGACTTGCCACGTGAGTATAGGTTATCATCAGGAGCGATGGTGTTGGAGTATGAAAAAGCAGTCCAGGAAAGTGTATATGATCAGCTTCGTGTTGTTCGTGAGGGTCAGCTTCGCATTATTTTCACACAAGATTTAAAGGTTGAGGGAAATACTATTTTAACATTTAACTCGTCTGGTCCCATGTTTCAGAGAATGACCTGTAATTGTTTCATTTCTACAGATATTGTCTTGGGAATTTTGTGCACGTAAGCATGAAGAGCTTTATCCTCGTCGTTTAGTGGCACCACAGGTACATCCTGTTTTGCACCTTGGATATTGCCTCTATAGCTCATATGCGATTACTAAAGTTTTTTCGCTTTAACATTTTGTTGAGTTGATCGGCATTTTAAATTGGAACGATTAGACATGATTATGTGGCAAAGATGCATAGTCTGAGACAGTTTAATATGCCTGGAAAACTAAGCTAAAGTGAAAAAACCATGGCTACTTATATTATCTTTGATTCGTACGTTATGTCAGTAAAAAGTGTTCTATACTGTGGCAAGGACTTGCATGCTTATCTGTTTACTTTGGCTTCCTGTTGCTAATTGCAGTTCCTGCTTTTAAACTGCTATAATATTGTATTTCATACGTTTTATGAGCTCATCTTTTGATGAAAATGTGTAAATTGTATTTCTCCATTTGGTATGAACAAATTGCTTTTTTTTCATTTCCTTTTTTCCTGTGTTTCTGTGTAATTTTAAAGCTGCTTCAGAGTGCTTATTTAATGCTCTTATTTGGAGTTTAAAATTTTTTTTGCTGACAAATTCAGTGCTAAGATTTTTCTATGAGATCTTTGTCTAGGTTGATTGTGGGCATTTCTGATGATAACTTCTGCTTGGTAAATGCTAAGGATCTCACCAGAAAGACTTTTGTTGCCCAGGATATTCTTTTTTTTTTTGTTGTTTTTATTTTAATGATGCAATCTCTTAAATCTTAGTTACATTTATTTCCTGCAAGCATTGTCTTCGTCTAGATTGATTTTTTGAACAGCATTCTTCATCCGGATTGTATCTGTTCTCAAATTGATTTATTTTGCTGCATGTGTCTTGTATGAGTTTATTGTTCAAGTATTCATCTAGTTCTCCTTGAAATTTTTTTTTTGAGATGCATGTCATGACCTGATTTTGTTGAATCATGCAGGTGAACCAGTTACTTCATGTGGCACAGAAATGCCAGAGCACAATTTCAGAAGGTGGATCTGATGGAGTTTCTCAGCAGGATTTGCAAACAAACAGCAATATGTGAGTTTACCATGCAAAATGAAATCATTACCAATAGCTTCTATTTCTTACCAAACTATGAAGGTGATGATAATTAGAATATAGAGGAGAATGCAGAGGATTATCAATTTGGAGAAAACAGAAGCAAAAGACCATATGAAAATGCTTCTACTTTGTAAACTTCCTATCTAAAACCAATTGGTAATAGGAGTAGCCCACATTGCAGTTAAGTCCACAGGTTCCCCCTAACAATTTTGGTTTATGCTGCTCTAATGATGATTTCTTTCTATTAGGGTCCTGACAGCTGGCCGGCAACTTGTAAAGAGTTTGGAGTCGCAGTCACTTAATGATCTTGGTTTCTCTAAAAGATATGTTAGGTGTTTGCAGGTATACCTTCAGCATGTTTTTAAATCCTGTTAAAAATACTTTTTATATTATTCTTTTTGAGTTTCCTTATCCTTTTCATCATTTTTATATGTAATAGATTGCAGAGGTTGTCAACAGCATGAAAGATCTTATAGATTTCTGTCGGGAGCATAAGGTTGGGCCAATTGGTAAGTGATCCAAGTACTCTCTTATTCAGCAAGGGTTATTCCATTTTGTGGTTAAAAGAGAGTGGCTCAGCTTGTGATAAAAAATATTAAATAAACAAATTTCCCTTCTATTGAAGAATATCTTTAAGGTTTATTTTGATAGAAGTTAGTGTGCATTATTGTCCGTAGCACTTGATTAGTTAAAAGCCACTAATTGTTCTCTTTTGCCCCAATTTTTTTATCACTACTACATTTGCAACTTATGCAAGCACATAAGTGAGCGTTTTTTTTTTATTATTATTATTATTATTATATATATTTACCATCTTGATACGTTAAGACATTCTGCTGAAAATTTGGTAGTTGTTGGGCTTAATCTTTCCATTGATTAAGTTAATCTGATTAATGTCTAATTGTGATTCTAATTTCTTTTTGCAGAAGGCTTAAAAAATTATCCTCGACTTACCAATCCTGCCAAGCTCCAAATGCCGAAAATAGAGCCAGTTGCTAATGTTCAGGGTCTGCCAACTGATCAGAACACCTTAAATAAGCTGATGGCATTACATCCTGGAATAAACAACCCAATGGGCAATAGCCATGACATGGTTGGTCAAGGGACTTTAGGTGGTTCTGCACAGGCTGCTTTGGCACTGACCAACTACCAGAATCTGCTAATCAGGCAGAATTCAATGAGTTCAAATCCTAGTTCACTTCATCCGGAAGCGTCATCTTCCTTCAATAATTCTAACCAGAGTCCATCTTCAACATTACAAGGACATGCTTCCTTGTTGCCCAGATCCTTGCCTGCTAGTGGCTTGGCTAGTCCTCGTCTGTCTGCTCAACAGCCACAGCAGCAATTGCAGCAACGGTCATTGAGTGCCAATAACTTGATCCAGCAGAGTCATCCACAGGTGACACAAGGTAACCAGACCTTGCACCAACAAATGATCCAGCAATTGCTGCAGGAGATGTCTAATAATACGGGAGGAGTGCAACAGCAATCTCTTAGTGGGCAGAATCTGAATGGAAGTGTGGTGAGAAATGGAGGGGGCTTTGGAAGCAACACTTCTGCACCACCTGCACCTCCATCGAATGTGCAAGGGACTGCCTCAGGACCTGCTCCGAGCCGGAGCAACAGTTTTAAAGCTGCATCAAACAGCGAATCATCAGCAGCTGGTGGGAACAGTGGGATTAACCAGAGAGCAGCCGAAGTACCTCAGAATCTCCATTTGCAGGATGATATTGTTAGTGATATAGCTCATGAGTTCACAGAAAATGGGTTTTTTAGCAGTGACCTTGATGATAATATGGGTTATTGCTGGAAGGCATAACTAACATAACATAGTTTTGCCCAATTAATTGCTTATGTTGGATGACTATTGGGTAAAATCTTGTACAGATCAACTGAATATCTTCCGATTTTTCTTATGGTGTTCTCTTTTTGAGCTTCCTCTCTAATTGTGGAATTGTTGTTACGTCACGAATGTCGTTCTATGGTAGTTATTTGTTTCTTTCAATCTGGTAGTCTGCTTTTTCAAGTCTTGCAAGTGTAATCTACTGGATGAACTGGAGAACGGATTCGGCCTTTTATTATTGTGATATTTACAATGTTACAATTAAGAGGAGCATTGAACTACACTAAGATGGTGCTATGGCTTGTATGCCTATATTGTTTCAGTCAAAATTCATCTTTCTTCAATTAATATCTGCAAACTGAAGCTCTCATGGGGACCTCCGAACTCTTATCACCTGTTTCCTATTCCTACGCGTTTTGTTTTTCATATTCCTATCGTTTGGGTTACGGTAAAGAGTTTTTTTGGTATAGTCACGTAATATTTTTAGATATATATATGTATTTAATTATTTTTTTTAAACTGTTTTTTTTAAATTATAGAAAGTTATAATAAATTTATAGTAATTTTATGATAAAATCAAATTTTATTTTGAAATTTTTTTACTGTTTTTTTTACTAAAAAAAAAATCTAATATTTAATATAATTATAAAATTACTTATTAAAATTTAATTTTATATAATTTAATTACATCATAATTTATAATACTTTAATAATTAAAAAAATTAGAAAAACTTAAATTATTAAAAAATAATAAATATTATATATTTTAATAATAGATGTGTATTAGAGACAGGTAGTAACATTGATTAACAAAGAAAAAAAATGTCATATCCTCAATTAAATTTTTTTTAAAAAAATTCTATTCTTATTTATACAAAATCTCTTGCTTTCTAATTTACCATGTAGGTTTTCACTTCTAAAATTTATTTCAATTTCCACACAAACATCTGTTCCCAACCCAAAGTCCCATGTCCAAGTGACAAAAAATTCTTCATGAAAGGAAGAATTAATGATACCATTCTCCATCATCCTTGCTGCCTATCTCTCCATCTGCACATGCTAAGTCCCTGACATGCCTGTCTCTTTCACGTAATTCTCCCAAAACAACAAAAGAAATACATCCCAAAAAAAGGAAAAAAAAAA